ATCGCATGTCAATGGTGTAACCCCAACTGACGCACCCCAACTAACCCCATTGTCACGTTGACAGTGAAAACTGTCAACTGTCAAAAGCAGCCAAGACGGTTTAAACTATGCGTTCCATTTTCGCTTTTCATATTTCGAATATCTTTTGTTGTGAGGTCCTGTGACGTAGGTGAAGCGGTTTTTCTTATGGCTCAGGCATTGTGTACCAACCTTTATGTAAATGTGATACGTTGTGTTTCATAATACCTAGTGAGGTTCTCGAATATATTATATAGAGCTGTCTAGACCTTAATTCAGTATGGCTTGTAATTTTAGCTGTAGAACACGTATAAATTAGATTTAGATACTTTGTATATAGATTATTTTCCGTGTGGTGACGGATTAAAAATACGGAATATCATCAACCCTATTCATCTAGTGGGTATTGTAAGAGCCGACTAAAAATGACGCAGAACAAAAGCACTGCAAAGACAAGGAAAACTTGACACAAACCCTAAACTAATCCGTCTGGCTAGCGTGGTATAGTATGCCAAAACCAAGTGGAAAGAACCAAAGAATCGCCTGAAACCGCCCCTCCGATAGGCTGGGGTAGCACTTCGGCTAAAGCATGACTCTTTAACGGTAAAAGAACCAGAATACCACCAAACCAAACCATATCCTGAATATATCACTGTGAAATTACAAGTATAGCCGTGATCGAACCATTGTCTGGTATAAAGTTACCGCTAATGTACACGCGACTTTACAATCTAAACCATTTTCATACACCAAGATGGCGGGCACCACAATGACTTTCTCTAATAAAACGGTTAACAATATAGAATTATGTCGCATCAAAAACATAACTAAAAGACATAAATAACCAACTTTATAGTTCAATATCGAGAATATTTCACTAAATAGGCGTAAGAATATAATATAATTTGTTATAAAAAATAAATATTTTTTGTCCCTTTCTACCTTTGTAGTATTTTGTAGTTGTGATTTTTTAGGTTTAAATCGTTATTTTTGGAGTCACGAGGCTTTGTCGTGACTGTAGGCGTGCGTTTTTGTCGTGGATAGGGCGAGTGACCGGAGTGCTGCGTTTAATGAAGGCGAGTTACTGTAGCGAGTAGTTAGCAGATAGTTTCCTAATTTAGGTTTATTATCAAGCGGTGTACTTACGTGTAGTTTAGGTACGGGTAGTAAATTTGAATCTCTGTGTCTAGTTCCGAATTTAACTACATGGAGAGTACAGTACAGTAGAATTTAGTAACAGTTAATAAGTTAACTTGTTTACTTCCCCCGCGTTTATTTATTAGCAATGGAAATAGTCAATAATAGACCGACGATAAAGATAACTTCTGTAAAAATCGCATCATTCAAGATTATCATAGGACAAAGTTTAGTTCATCTTATTTATCAGTTGTAATCAATTATTTTTTACCCTATTCAGTATCGTAGTAGTAGCTCCCTTATGGAAATGAGAAGGTAAGTAATTCTATCCAATGGCCCCGGCCAGTGGCCAGAAAAGATAGTAGGTAGGTATTACTAGCGCAGTGCGTGGCGTGGATTGGCAGTGCTTGATCAATTAAGAATATCGGTAGCTAGAGACACTAGTGAAAGCGAACTATCAGTTAGAACGTGTGCAAATACTTTTTGTAATAACCTTTTTCTTTAAACCTTTTTGTAAAAACAGAAGGACTGATTTGAATTTTGTTAATTTAAAAGTTAAAGAACCTTCAATTTATAAAATAAATGGTAAGTAGTCAATAATCTCAGTGACAACTGACAAAGTGAACAAAATTGTAGACGGGGCAGCCGTTACAAATTTGTTTACAGACTAAACTATTCAGAAACTCATGAATGGCTCGCACGTAAACCGAACACCACTAAATCAAATGTCTCGCGTAATCGTATATAGTAAACGAAGCACGGCCATTGTGTAATCCCAATTCGGCTATGGCGGATTCGATGACATCCAATGAATAGGCTGATAACGTCCAATACAAGCCCTTTTGTACTGCTCTGGCTATTTGGACAGAAAACTTTTCTCCCCGATTGTAACGGATTGTTTGGCGTAAGAGAGAGACAGAGAAAGAAAAAAGAAAAAGTGAGTATAATGCGATGAAGTGGAACGCAGTTATAACATTGAAATCGGTTACATAACGCTTAGTACTAAATTTTGTTCATTATATTTTGAAGGGTGATTGCAACTCTATATTAATTCACGATTTTACTATACTCGTAGTAACATAATTATTTAAGATTATACGTAAATGTTACTTTAGCACTAATTTTAGGTGAATTTCACTGGAATTAAAAACAAAACAAATATATAAATATCAATGCATGTACTTTTTTTCACACAAAAGACGCCAATTACGGCTTAATATTAAGTGACCTGACTGGTCTCTTTAATAGTCCACTGTTGGACATACGCCTCTCCTTAAAAAGGAGAGTTTGGCAATTTTTTATACAACATATATAAAAATCAATGCATTTACCGTTTTTCGTAAAAAAGACGGCAATTACTGCTTAATATCCAGTGACCTGTGTGCTCTCTTTAATAGTCCACTGGTGGACATAGGCCTCTCATTAGAAAGGTCTTTAGGCCTACTATACCACGCTGGCCAGACGGGTTGGTATAGGGTTTGCATGGCTCGTTGGTCGTTCCGGCTGGAGACTCCACGCGCTGGCTTCGCCGCCGTGGAGGCTCTCCAGCCGGTCATCGCCGAGTGGGCAGGGCGGCAGCACGGGACCCTTTCCTTCCGACTGACGCAGGTGCTTTCCGGGCACGGTTGCTTCGGAAAGTACCTGCACACGGTCGCTAGGAGGGAACTGAGTCCCGCCTGCCACCACTGCGACTGCAGTGAGGACTCGGCCCAGCACACGCTGGCGGTCTGCCCCGCATGGGCGGCGCAGCGCCGGGCCCTCACTGCAGTCATCGGAGTGGATCTCTCGCTACCGGCCGTAGTACGCTCCATGGCCGGTAGCGACAGTTGTTTTACCGCGGTCGCAACCTTCTGCGAGGTAGTAATCTCGCGGAAGGAGGCGGCGGAAAGGGCCCGGGAGGACGACCTCCACTCGGACCCGATCCGCCGCCGGCGAACCGGGCGGCGGAGGCCCGCCTACCACAGCCTCATGCCGCCCTGAGTGTGGCCGCGGGTGGACGGGGTGGGTTTCCCCTCCACCCGCATTAGTTGGCCAGCCGCGAGGGGGCGGCGTCCGCGTGTGCCGGACGTCGCCTAAAGAGAGGAACATCTATATTGAGACGGAGCCCGCACCAGGAGCGGGCTGGCGCTAGGAGGGGTCCGGATGTCTTAACAACAGCTGTTCCCGGATCCCTCCTGTTACAGGCGCAGAGTGGCACACCGTGTGGTTTTAGTCGGTCCGAGTCCGACACACCACCCCGCCGCAAACCCCGGATGGGTGACGGTCCGAGGGGATTTCCACACGTTAAAAAAAAAAAAAAAAAAAAAAAAAAGGGTTTGCATCAAGTTTTCCTTCTATTTGCAGTTAGTAAGTCATTTTATATATTGAAGGTCCGTTAACATTTTAAACTAACAAAACTCAAATCAGTCGTTCTGTTTGTTGAAAAGAAAAAAGGTTAAAGAAAAAGGTTATTACAAAAAGTATTTGCACACGTTCTAACTGATGGTTCCCTATCACCAGTGTCTGTAGCCACCGATAGTCTTAATTGATCAAGCACTGCCAATCCTTACTGAAACGCCACGCACTGCGCTAGTAATACCTACCTACCATCTTTGGTGACGGATTAAGAATACAGAGTGTCACCACCCCTATTCATCCCGTGGGTGTCGTAAGAGCCGATTAAGGGAAAAAACAGCACTGCAGAGAGAAGGAAAACTTGACACAAACCCTATACCAACCCGTCTGGCCAGCGTGGTATAGTAGGCCAAAACCTCCTTTCTAAGGAGAGGCTTATGTCCAGCAGTGGACTATTAAAGGCTGTTGATGATGATGATGATCTTTTCTGACCACTGGAAGGGGCCATTGAATGGAACTACTTACCTTCTTATTTAACTACTACACCATAAATGAATACGTTTCACCGTTAATAATATGGCCTTATGATACAAAACTTCATTATGAGAATCAAACAGCGACATTGTAGCTAATAAACCTCTAATATCTATTGTGGTGTACACAGGCAAGGCTGTCATTATCTGTTGTAAAGCTTATAAAACTCTTTATTGCACTGATGCGATGATAGCCAGACTCGTGTGGAGGAGGTGTTGGGTGCATTGGCTTGTATTTAAGTTTTATATGGCACCGTTTGTGTTTGATTTCTAAAGCCCTAAAGATGCTGGATCTTTGTTTATATTTATTTATGTACATATAAACACTTATCTCTATATTCTTAAAGGTATGTGTTCAACTATAATTTTAGTACTAATAAAGAATTAAGGGGCAGAATGCCGTCAAACGGGCATTAGGATATGAGGATATTAAAATTAGGAAAAATAAGTTACAATCAGTTATATGGTTAAAAAAGTACTGGCTTTGTCTAGTTTGACTGCACAGATGGCGTAGTGGTTTAAGCGGTCGCCACGCCTCTTACTACTACGCTGAGTGTTGTGGGTCCGATCCCCACATGGGACTACACTTTGTGTGATCCAGAAATTGTTGTTCTGAGTCTGGGTGTTCTTTGTGTCCGTTTAAAGTATGTTTGTGAAGTCCCCCGCGACACAGGAATATATTCCTAACGCGGCTTTTCTTTTTAAATAAAAAAAATTAGAAAATTTGGGTCCAGGACAACCGGGTGTGAGATATAATACTTTTTTTGGGGAATATATTTATGTTCTTACTTCATCTTACATGGAATTGCCCAGACAAATTAAAAAGGGATAAAAAGTATTAATTATACTGAGTGGGGATTGAACCCCTTCATCACATAAATGGCTTGACGATAGCAAGGTATGACGTAACAATTTATTAATTCAGTTCTGATATATCTATTGATATAGTAGATTATTTACTAAGGGGAATGTACTTACCAGCTCTCAAAGCATCCATGGGGACACTGGGATATGGTATGGAGTACGGGTATCCCTCCTTCCTCAAAGTTTTCGGCTTCCTCCGAGGCCGGTACTTGTAATCGGGGTGTTCTTTCATGTGCATCGCCCTGATGCGCTTGGCTTCGTCGATAAACGGTCGCTTCTCGTCTTCGGTAAGAAGCTTCCATTCCGCACCTGTGAAGGGAAGAATTAATTAAATTTTATGTTAAATTAAAGTTTTGACACATGAATAACTACACACACCCGTTTATGTGGTGACGAATTAAGAATACAGAGTGCCACCACCCGTCATCTCGTGGGTGTCGTATGAGCCGACTGAGGGAGCAAACTATGCATGACAACAGCACTGCAAAGAGAAGGAAAGCTTGAAATGAACCCTATAGCTACCCGTCTGGCCAGCGTGATATATGATGATGATGATGGCGAACCCCCATGTATCCCCAAAGGATAAGTAGAGACGTGGAAAATCTCCATGCTGCCCACTCTAACCCTCGTTGTGTTTCTGAGTTATGAACAGTATCGACAATTTTAATTCCAATTTTTCTGCTTCAAGTTTGCCCAGCCATTGTTCCGAATATCACAAACGGGAAAAAATCTTTAGATTACAAATACTATTTTTACGAATGCTGGTGGTTTTAGCGCAGTTGTTGACTGTTATATTTTTTTCTATACGAGTATCTGAAACTTACTAGAAAAACCTATCGACGATACTTAGCATGCATGATGCGGCTGCTTAAATGGTTTTCTTGCCAATACATAACAGATAATATATATATAGAAATCGCACGCGCCATTTAATACGTTCAAAAACACCAATCGTGACAACAATTTTACATTAAATACTATAAAAGTTATTGACTATATCTTAAGTTATGCAAATATACGGGAGTTAATTGATCAAGTAATAGGTATTATATACATTTGAATTGTCTGACTTTTTGACCAGGTTACACTTGACTTGGTCATAATCTGACCCCGGCTGATAACGGGTGTTAATTTTGGTACGTTTAAAAGTTGGTAATTTATTTTCTGTGTGGTGTCGGATTTAAAATACGGAGTGTCACCACTCGTATCCACTAAGGGTGCAAACTCTGCTGGACAACAACACAGTAAGGAGAAGGAAAACTTAAAACAAATCCTATACCAACCCGTCGGGCCGGCGTGGTATACTTGGAAAAAACCTCCTTTCTGAAGTGAGGCCTATGTCCAACAGTGGACTATTAAAGCTGTAGATGATGATGAACTCATTTTTAATTACGAAAGGTGCAACATGGAGATAATAATAATAATAAATATGTTAATTTATCTTAAAAAGGTAAGTTGGTTTGTTACTACATATAATAAATACAACATATACATAACATGGGTTATGATTATTTTGCGAGCAGCTGAATTTTGATTGACCAGTCTAAATATTTTGGTCTTCCGACGTTAAGTGGGAATGGGCCGGAGTGATACCACGGCCTCACAGAAAACCGGTGTTAAGCAATTCTTTCGTTGCCTTTCACTGAGTGAGTGAGGTTACCGGAGCCCAAATCTCCCCTTCCGCTGACTCGAGCGAGAGGGACTCCAAGGGCGGAAACGCACTTGTGACTTTTGAGTTGCAGGTGTCCATGGGCGGTGGTAGATGCTTACCATCAGGTAACTCGTCTGCTCATATAACTCGTCCCTCTTATACCATAAAAAAAAATAAGCTCTGGTAATAAAAGTTAAAGCGTATTGCAAGACCCGAGCATAGCATTTAGGACTTGTTGAATAAAAACTTGGGAGAAAACAAAAACAATGGGAGAGGCCTATGTCCAGCAGTGGACTGCGATAGGCTGATGATGATGATGATGATGATGAATAAAAACTTGTGACCTTTCGTAGATTATTATCCGAGATTGTAATTAGTGATTATGTTAACTCTAAAACATTGCGGCTTTTATATTTTGTGAAATCAATGAAATGTTATGTTTATTAATTATTAAGCCTTTATTGCCAACATAGTTACACGTATTCATTATTAAATAGTTAAGTGTTAACATGCAATTAAATTAATTAACATTATAATTATATCAATACAATATTATTATTATGCCGCAGTTATTGGGCGTCGGCGTGTCCTTGTGACACAAAGGCCTCCTCCAGCTCTTTCCATTCTGCTCTTGTTTGAGTTATTCTGGGCCACAGTGGACGCGTTCTTTTTTATGTCATCAGACCAACGTTTTCTTTGTCTTCCTCCAATGAAATGTTATAAAAGTATAAAACTCGTACTACCAACAAACGTTTATGTGCTAATTCTATGCAGTTCAGAAATTACAAATGTTATATTCAGTATTTTTAGATATACTTGTTGAGGAACGTCTGCTATTTTTCTATAATGCAATGGAAGGATTCTACAATTCTCAGGCGAGGTGATCATGCAATGGCGAAAAGCATGTCAAACGATTAATTTTACTACTACTTAGCGTAGCTACTTATGTAAGACCGTCTGGCTTTAACGGGAGTTTCCTTGATAGTAGGGAAATCCCGAGAAGTAAGTTATGATAGAAAACTGGTCTATTACCTATCTCTGCCAACTTTAAAAAGCATGTGCTAATGTTAGTTTAATTTAATATAATATATTTTCCCACATTCACACAACGCCATCTAGTCCCAAACTAAGCAGAGTTTGTACTATGAGTACTAGACAACTGACAAAAATACATATTTACTTTTTTTTTGGAAAATACATATATATTATACATAGAAACACCCAGATCAAATCAAACATTAAATGATAATGGACACAAATGTTTGACGCGGGAATCGAACCCGCGACCTTTGGAATGGCATTCCGTTACACAAACCACTATGCTAAGTTTGTAGTCTAGTTTGTACTACTAGAAGTGCCAATCAATTGAGATGACTAATTAAACAATAATATTGGTTTATTTACTTTACCAAACAATAATACACGAACTATTAAAACATTGAACTAAAAGCAGAAAAGTAATTTGCCCTAACCATCCTTCATTGCGGAGACAATACATTGAATCGATACAATAATCAAACGACCTGTCTCCCAGCCGATTCAAGAGACCAACCCTTTGTCTCCCCCCATTTATAGAAGCCTGTATTCATCCACCGTGGAGGGGCGCCATCGGCCATTCAAACAGACAAGACAATCCCAATTCAGCCGGGTATAAAAGCGAAAACAATGTCGCTAACATAGAAAGGAACAATCCGGCTCGAAGGACCAACCTTACTCTCACTCGCACTTATGGAAAATTTACTGAGAGGGAGTGAGACAGCTACAACAATGGCGGAAAGCGCCGCCTAATGACGAATTTGCGCTTTTCATTCCACAACAGAAGTTTTTCCCGGTTCCTCATTATTATGTCGATACTTTGGGGTGGGTTTTCTCCTCTTTTGTCGGTACAGATGATAGGATCGTGTGCTTAGTAACAACAATGGTATAAAAGACTAATGTTCTATTAAAATTACGACGACGGTTTTAGGACTGTTTAGGAAAAATAAGCCACTTTGCTCATTACAATAGAGGTGTTATTTGCAAGAATTATATCAAGAATATTATCATTTATTAGTTTTATAATACAACATTATGAAGTCTTACTAAGTCTGTGTGGTGTTGCTACTTAGTAACGTGAGATTTTCGGTGCGTAAACTCTTATGGAATAAATACGGCCTATAGACATATGAGATACTATTATACAAGATTTCATGTAATAAATGTTTCTATACGTATACATGCTTGTAAATTATGTATGTCTATCTTTCTTTATTTACTTTTTTAATATAAACAAAATATTTTACAATAAAATAGATAAAGCTACCCACATATTATTATGAGTTTAACCAACATAAGCAGATTATTTCTAGACCTAAATTCACATCAACATCAACCTATTTTCACATTTATAATATAAGTGCGTGGTTGACGGCAATTGGCATATCACATATTACGTAAGTGTAACTAAAATTTTAGGCGGCAAAAGGTGGGCATTTTGACGCCTCTGTCTACGCCACGACAGATAAAGAAGTAAGTGTATGTTTGAATGTAAAAAATAGTAAAACTTTTACGCCAACATAGGTTGCGAGTTAAAACAAAGCATACGACCACATATTAACATTATAATATTAGCATTGTAGTACACAAAAACTGCTTCAACTCTCACATACAAAGACACACTGTTTGAGAGTCAAAGAAATTGTGACACTTGTGAAGTTAAAATGCTAGTTGACATGCATGCACGTCAGCAGTTGGAAAATGTATTTACATGGTGTTTGTTCCACAACTGGTTTGTTTTCGGCTTTGTCTTTTAAATGAATACAGACTGTAATTAGCAAATATTGAATGTTTAACCGGCGTAAGCAATTGAGTAAACATCTATATAGGTTGGAATGCGTTCGTGTTATATTATTGTTTTATTTTTATTCTACTTGATTAACCTACATTTTTGATTAGACATGGATTTTATGTAGTATTGAGCCTTACGTTTTAGCGTGACGTATAATCAATGTTTTATCTTATAAAATAAAGCTAAAAATATTATTATCATTTAAATTGACTTAATAAATATAACAGTGATTTATTTTAATTTGCTTTGATTAAACTTAATTTGTATTAATTATTTTGAATTTTCTGTAATTAAGGTTATTTATTATGAATACTACGCGTATTCTTGTTGAAGAAGATGTAACAAATAAATCTCTGGATCGTTAGACAACTAGGACTTAATAAGTATTTATAAGTTTCTATGTAAGCTGAGTGTTGAGAACTTGCGAATATCTATTTCTGTTCGGACGATGTTAGGTTTGGTATTATAGAAAGTTATGGACTGTTATTTGAGCTTTTGTTAGGTATTAACTTAAATGATCTTTCGCTTGTTAAATTGGAAGTCTCGCCCATGAAATTACTGTAAATAGATAGTATCTATTAACCTCAACCCTAAACAAATGTTAATTAGATACAAAATTGATTTTATGTAGTATTAATTCAAATAGTTTACCATTATTAAGTATACTTCTCTACTACACACTACAGTAAATGCTATGTACACCGTAATTGTCATACATATCAGGTATAATGCCACATAGTATCAAAATTCGTTATAAGTATAATGTGTATGATATGGTAGTACTTATTAATAAATAAGAAAATTGTTTTAAAGACCCGTAAGTGCTTGTAA